GAGAGAGAGAGAGAGAGAGAGAGAGAGAGAGAGAGAGAGAGAGAGAGAAGTTTCACATCCTAATCGACCTTGCCCCCCTTGACCTGCCTCTACCCAGAATCCCGTGCCCCCCTTGACCTGCCTCTACCCAGAATCTCGTGTACCCCCTTGCGATCCTCATGACTTTCGAGTGGGTGAAGGAGATGATAGGAAAGATGGGCCAGGGCGGTTGGTTATGATAGATAGGTGTAGGTGATGGAGGTGGAAGAAGGGTTGGGGTTGGTCGGCTATGGTGGATGGGTGTAGGTAATGGAGATGGAAGAAGGGCTGGGGGTGGTCGGCTATGGCGGACGGGTGTAGGTGATGGAGGTGGAAGAAAGATATGGGGTGGCCGGCTATGGTGGATGGGTGTAGGTGATGGAGGAGGGAGAAGGGTTGAAGGTGGTCGGCTATGGTGGACGGGTGTGGGCGACGGGGGTGGACCTCCTGCTGAGGAGCCTCTGAAGGAGTAGGACAGGCTGCTCTGTCGTCTGTCCGTGTCACCTGCTCACCCCCTCGTGCCTCTGGCCCAGAACAAGTAGCCCAAGATCCCAATGCCTCCTCCAGTCCTGCAACACGAGGCATACCCTGAGGTGTGGCCGACTCCTGACAATCCTCCATAATTTCTCTCATCTCAACCTCAGGCATGACCTGCCCTACAGTCTTCTGAGCTCCCTGCACTCCTATAGCCTCTCCCTGTGTGGTAGGCGGAGCGCCCTCATCTCTAGTGGTCTCTACTTGCTGCCTCTCTCCTCTGTACCTGCTCAAGTGCCAAAATAGAGGGCATTTGCCATTCAAATTCATCGACCTCTACCTCCGTCCCTGTGGGTATCTCCTCAGGCTGCAACATCTCCTTGTCTAGCAAGCGGATCTCCTCACCCTTCTGCTGACTTGCCCCCTCTTCTTCCTTCTGGCACTTGAAGGCTTCTTCTACGGCTTGTCTCCTTATCTCAAACCCCTGGACCTCTGTCCAATCCATCACTATAGTAGGAGCCTATTGTGCACACCTAGCCTCGAGGCTCTTTATCATTTTCTCCCACTTTGCTTCCTTTGCCTGAAAAGAAGTCTGTTGCACCTGCAAGTAGGCCCTCAGAACGTCATTGACCTTGTTGAGGGTCTGGTTGACCTGTCTGATGGCCTCATTGTCTGCCCAAAGCTTTGCCATTTCTGCCTTTACTGCCTCCACTTCCTTACTTTGCTTTTCCAGCTACTTCTTTAGGGTGTCTACCTCTCTCTCTCAGTCCACCCTCTGGCCATAGGCCTTATGTGCCACCTTCGTCAGTCTTTCCCCAACCTTCTGATATGAGGCCTTTGCAGCTGCAAAGCTCTCCTTCTTAAGGCCCTTCAGGCTAAGCAAGTCTGTGGATACTAACTTAACCCCCATCTCCTCATGATGCTCTCTAGGCCTCCTTGCAGCCTCCATCAGCTTGTCAAAGTTGACCCATGCCTCTGTGAGCAGGGGAAGATCCTCCCCCTGAGTGCAGACCCCCTTCCCTTTTCTGTCCTTCAAATCCATAGGCCGCTCTCCCAGCTGCATCTTCTCGTGCAGCTCTGCAAGGTATTTCAACCTGAGATGGACCCTGATCTCCTTCTCCCTTGCAACTCTCTCCTTACTGTCCATCTCCTTTTCCTTTGTAGCTTGGTTCTCCTCCTGCTCCTGTCCTTGTGGCTCATGGGGTAAGTCTGGCTCCATGTCTGGCATAGGGCAGTTGTCACCTGTCTGAGCAGGCTGGGGGGGTGTACCTGATCTACCTGATGCTCCTCCCTTGTGGGTCCTTTCTGCAGGCTGTCCCTCTCTCCTCTGAGTCATCTTAGCATGCTGCTCCTCTTCCCTCTCGTGCTTGTGGGACTTATGCTCTTTCTTCCTTCCTTCCCTCTGAGCCCCAGACGATATACCCTGCTAAAAAATCCTCCTCTTTGCTACCCCTGGCTCCTTCCTTTTTCTCTCCATACTCCTCTCGTCTGGTTGATATGCTGGAGTATAGTAATTCCAGAGCTGCTTCTTACAATGGCCCCAGTTTGTGGCAGGCTCCACAATAAACCTGACGAAGGACCTAAGGTGTCGCCTCACAAACAGGAGAAAACTTCTCATCCTCTGGTTCCCTGGCTCATTGAGGTTGTCTGCGTACTCGTCGTAGGACCTCAAAAAGTCTCCCAAGTTAGTGCCATCGAAGCGAATGGGCTGTCCATCTCTCCCCAATGGTGATGGGTGCAGGCCCTCCATCTTCCTCTCAAACTCCTGCCAGGTCAGCGATTCTCTGACATAATTGGTTATGGGCTCTGCCCACTTGCCTGTGCCTCGCACCTCCTTAAGCATCCTGACCCCCTCCCATCCAAACTCTCTGGCGTGCTCTCAAACTCGATCAGGAATAGCTCAGTGTTCCCTCCCTGGAAAATAAGTGGCCTGTCCTCTCTCCTGGCCCTCATCTGCGCCGTCTGTCTGGTCGCCCCCAGAGGGGTTTCCACCGGTCCTGCCCTTCCCCTCCCTCTTGGCATGGCTGCCCCAAATGGTGTCAAGCCTGAACAACAAGGAAGAGAAAAACAAGAGCACACAGAGGGTAAGCAGGTTAGGCAAACACAACAGGAGACAGACATAACCCTCCCATTCTATAATGCCTCTCTATAATGTCTATCTGTATATATATATATATATATATATATATATATATATATATATATATATATAAATTTACCTAAATATGGTACCCTATCATACCATTTTACTGATACTAACATCCTACACAACTTATTTATACTAATTACCCCCATCCAATATACTCAAAGGAAGTGACACTACCTTGCGAGATCCATGCTCACCTCATCCCGGGCGACAAACTTTTTTAACCTTGAGCCTGGCACCCAATCCTTCCATGTCGTTCCATTCATTTCCTCGATCTGGTATGCTCCATGCTCGCCACACCTTGTAATCCTGTACGGCCCTAACCACCGCTTGTCCAATTTCCTCGACCACTGCTTCACCAGGGACGAGTCGTACAGCAACACGATGTCTCCCACCTTGAGAGGTTTCTTCCTTACTCGTGCTAACTGATCCCACCCGAACTTGTTCTTGGTTCGACTGTCAGCCACCCTACTTGCCGCTCTCTGTACCTTATCCTCTATGGCTCCAATTTGACGTGCCTTTAGATCAAGCAATTCCTCAAAAGACAAAGTTGTCTCGAGGTCTCGTCGCCTCCAAGTCTTTAGGAAACTTTCTATAGGGAACGTCGCATGTCTGCCATACCACAATGTAGCCGGCGCGTAGTTGGTGCTTCTTCTGACAGTGATGTTTTCCACGAAGAAAGCAACCCTTAGAAAATTAGGCCACTAATTAGGCCTGACATCTGTCCACTTTGCGAGGAGATTTGTAATGGTACTATGTCCTCTGTCCACTGGTGCGTTAGACTGAGGGTGCGCCGCAGTCGTATGCTTGGCAATCACACTATACGCCTTTAGCAATGTCTTCACTTCCGCACAAGTAAATTCGGACCCCCTGTCCATTACGGATCTTGAGACGAAAGGATAACGAAGGTAATACTCTTCGATGCATTGGGTCAATCCCTCTCCAGTCTTTGTGCGAATAGTCGTATCATCCACAAACCCTGAGAGATTGTCTCGTGCATCAAAGATGTAGTTGAGTCTTCCTATTCCCAGCGACATTGCTAATAGGTCCAGATGAACGACTGCTCCAACCTCATGTATATATCTAGGGTGAAGTGGTTCCCTAGGTCTAAGGGAAGACCGCTCCTGACATGGTATATATCTAGGTCTAAGGTGATGTGTTAATCATGTGTCCCATGCCATCCCAATAATATAAATCATGAATTTTTAAGTATGTTGCATCTGCACTCCTATGGCCACCTGCGGTTCCATCATGAAGGGTTGCCATAACGTCAATCTGTCAATTTACGTCGCAAACCACCCTTCTGGGATTCCTCCCTTTACTTCTCATAAACAAATGACCGTCTCTCACCAAGAAATTTGGCCGCATCTTTAGGACTTTTTTGCTAACATCTCTTTCACCTGTTTCACACGAAAGGAGCATTCCCTATTTCAGATATACTCCATCGTATTCTTCTGCGCGAAAGGCCTCTCTTACCTCACCTTCTTCAAAGTCATCGTCCTCTCCTTCATGGATCACGTTCTCCTCCCTATTCTGCCTCTCTCCTTCAATCTTAGCAACCTCCTCTTGAAGCAACGCATTCGCCAGTAGGTACACCCCTCCAATCAACTGTTCATGCTTTCCTACCTGCTGGGGTCCGTGCTCCAATGTGACCAGATCCTCCCGCAACTAGTACTTGTCTGCCAAGGCCAAATCCATCATCCACTCCACTCCTGGCATTCCCCAAGAATCTTCCTCAACATAGGACTTCAAGACTATATCTGGTAGCCGTATATGTCCCGGTGGTGTGAGCCATATAGGTCGCCCCGGAGTAACATAGTTACCTATAGCCAACGACCAGGAGTTAATGTGGAGTTTAACGTCCTCTTCCTTGTCCAGAAAACCGTCGACCGACGGAGTATCTTCAATTATCTTTTTTCTACCCTTGTCCCAGTCGACGTGACTTAACCCATCTGCCCTATTCTTGTTCCCTGAAATACGCTCCAATTCGAAGTCAAACATCCAGATGTATGTCAACCACCTGGCAATGGTCGAATCCGAAGGAGCGAAATTCTTAAGGGAACCAGCTAGAGTAGTTGGGTTCACTCTCAACATAAACCTACTACCAAAGAGGTAGTTTCTGAAAATCCTTAAGCAAGGTCTCGCGCTTAAACTGAGAGTAATTTCTCTCAGTTGTGTTAAGCGTTCGACTCTCAAACCTTAGCGGTCGTTCTTCTCCATTGAAGTCTCGTTGAATCAGTACTCCTCCCAGGGCAGTCGGTCCTGCGTCTGTTTCCACGATAAAAGGTCTGATCATCACAGTCGCATGGTCTGGTACCCCCAGTACTAGACCCCCTTCCTCAAACTCTTTCTTCAGACCCTCTATCACTGACTCCTGCTTGTCTCCCCATACCCAATTTTGACCTTGGGGCACAAACTTTCGCAATTGCTCTGTCTTCGCCGCAAACCCTTTGATGGACATTCTCCAAAACCCACATGTTCCCAGGAAGCTCCTTACCTCTGTAATTGTCTCGAATGGTGTCGGTCATTCGAGAATCTTGTTCGTATTCTTAGTGTCCGGCCAACGACCCCTCTCATCGCACACAAACCCTAAGATTGTGGCCCCACGCATACAATGTCTGGACTTCGCTCCACTTGAATTGAGGTTATGCTCTTTTAACAAGTCTAAGATTTTGCATAAATCTTGAAAATGATCATAGACAAATCGTCTAATCACAGGCATCATCTCCTGCTCATTCTTCTCCTTAGGCCCTTTCACAGCCAGATCATCGACGTAAGGTTGTATAATGCGAGGACTCACTGGTTGCATTGCCCTCACCATGTGTCTCTGGACCATGACAACCGCATTCATCCACCCTTGTGGTGCGACATTCATGTGAATCAGCCCTCGAGGGGTATGCATTGCAGTCATTGGCCTGTCAGAAGGGTAAACAGGAAACTGGTCGTAACCAGAATATAGATCTATAAGTGAAATTATAGATCGTCCCGCGCAGGCTTCCGAAAGTGCATCGGCATTCGGCAGACCACCTGCGTCCCTCACAGTCACAGCATTTAATCGCTGCAAATCCTGTACCCACCACAAAGTCCCATTTGGTTTAACGAAGCAAAACCAAGGGGATGCATAAGGTCCACTTGAGTAGTCTGACACATGCGTTCGAATCTTCCCATCAAGATATTTTACCACTTTTTCCTCATCAGCCGGGTTGGGATATCACGCACCTCGCAGATTCCATGGTTCATGTGACACAGTATGTATCCGGATCATCGGGATCTTGTCAACGTCAAGGTGGCCATGTTCGTCATCATTGAAGGCATAGGCAGTATGTCTTCCTCTCATGGTCTTCACCATCAACTGCCTCTCCTGCGCTGTAAGGAAATCTGGTTCCCCTATTATCAGCGCCTCTTTCGTTTCTTGATTGATACAGCATGATTCATTCTCCACATTTTCCCGCATCTGCCGTATCAACTCTCGTTCTCGCTCGTAATAAACTTTTTGTTCCTCAGTCATGAGCACAGGAACAGGGCGGCATTTTTTATCTTCTCTTTTGTACCGCCTTTGTGACCCTTGCTTGAGCCTACTCCTAAAAAAGGCCGAGTTGCACTCTGGGGTTGGACTCCTGTCGATCCTCCTAGCTTTCCAGGTGTCCGATATACCAACTCCACCTCTCCTTCTCTCATTTGTTTCATCACCTTCTCTCTTAAGGTTTCTACGGCTTCCGGATCCGCCATCTCGTAGGTTGACACTATGTCCATAGCATCGCCTATACTGGTCAGGCTAAGGGTCAGTGCTTCCGGATCCCTTTCTTCTTCAAACTCACCACTCCATAGCCTCTTCCTTTCTTCTTCTGACTCTTCAATCGTGAAAGAGTCAGGATTGAGCCTGTTCCTTATACTTCGCGGCCCCGTATTCCTGCATGTGATAACCTCATAGTTGCCACACACTGGGTCACATAAGACAAGGAACATCGTCCCATCATGCTTATTAAGTATGTGGGTCTCTGTTCGGCTCAGAAAAAGATCGGCCCAATAGGATAGGATGATCGAGGTTAGGCATTACGAAGAAACAACTTCTCACTTTAACCTTGCCAATCTCCAAAATTATTCTCGATGCGGTCCCTCTAAACACTGACCGACTATTCGCTCTCATTAGAACTCCATTATAGGAGCGATCAATCTCCATCCCCAAGCGCAAAGCATGCTCCTCTTTTATGAGGTTCATTTCCGCACCAGTATCCACCGTTGTCGTGCATGTTTTTCCTTTTACTACTACGTCCAAGCACCCGCATGCGACGGACTTCCAATCCATCTTCGTGCCTGTCTCCGTCCATTCTGCTTCCTTAGGGATTATGACCCCCAATCGCACACTGGCTACCATCTTTCTAGACAATCGGGCTTTGAGGTCGTCCCAAAGCCTTGGGGCTGAAGCCAACACATCCTTCAGGTTCATAAGGTGATTATGACCCTCAAGGATTCTATCCATCATCTCCTCTACATCATAGTCTTCTTTCACCCGGACAGCGTACTTTATTTTCTTCCCTTCCGGAATTCCGTTTGTGTCTTCCTTAACATCCCTCTTTTTCGCTCTCAGTTCGACCCTCTTATCCTCTTCTCTTCTTAACCTCTCATCCCTTTCATCCTCGTCCTCCGGGATGTCTAGTGCCTTATTTTTCCCACTAGGCTGAGGAACGTCCTTTGTCGGCTCATCGGAGCTTACCGGCCCCTTCGCCCTTATCTTGACTGCTTGTGGTGCCCTTCCTGACCTTGATGGTGACCTATAAGCTATTCCGGATCGAGGCGTCGGCCCGGAAACCGTTACGCCTGACAAATTCCCAGACCGTCCTTGCGATCCTGGACCCATATCGTAGAGATATACCAGTGTTTTTTCCCTTTACACTCCTTGACCTCTTCACACATATTGGTCAATTTGCCTTGATATTTTCCTATTTTCGCCACTAGGTCCTCCATTCTTTCCATCATTCTTCGGGCCTCATTCCAATAACCCTCATTTATCCCATCGTCAGATTCTATCACAATTGGTTTTTCCCTGATAGTACCGACTTTCCTTTCCTGCTCTACTTCCTCATTCTCTCCTATCTCTTCTACCCTTACATCAGGACGGACCTCCTCCTCTTGCCAAATTCGAAACATGGCCGGAGGAGCGGGTGGCATACCGGCCTCGGCTCGTCGCAAGGCCCCCTTTCTTGTCCCACCAGGGCTCTTTGGGTCAATATTGTATCCAAACTTATCATACATATCACCGTCGTAGTTGGTACTAATCAACCCTTCGTCTTCATCGTTCCTTCGGACATGGCAAAACTTGTGGTATGACCTTTCTGTCCACAATGTCAACAAATGACATTCCTCCAATCTATTCGTCCCCTACCAAAACCGCGTCCGCCGTCCTGACTACCCTGGCTTCCTGACGTGTTCCAGTCACCATTTCCTCCCCCACTGGAATTACCACCCCCATTTCCTCTTCCGTTTCCTCCACGACCGCCATTTCCTCGTCCTCGGCCCCATCCTTGGTTCTGTCCACGTCCGCCGCCTTGATTTCCCTGTGACCCTTGTGGCGCTGACTGTTGAGGTTGGCTTGGCTGGGGGTTCGGGTGGCTTACCTGTTGAGATTGGGGCCCTGGATGCGCAGGAAGCCATACTTAACGGAGCTCCTACACATGAGCCGTGCGGCCCACTGATCAGTCATGGTGCGTACCGATTGTACCCAGGCCAAGGGTTTGGGGGTCCATAACCCGACCACGGGGTGCTGGCGCAGCCTGGCCATGCGACTCAGGAGGTGGCATCGTTGTTACCTGCGAACCTTGGCCTCTACCTGAGCCTTGTCCGCCTTGGGTCAGATTTTTGGCCTTCCTTCGTGCCTTTGTTAGCTTTTGAGGCTCAGGTTCTTCTTCTTCTTCTTCTTCTTCTTCTTCTTCTTCTTCTTCTTTTTGTATCACTGCTTTCTTTGCCCGTCCCTGGGCCTGCGATACTGTCATTACCCTTTTGGCAGCATTTGCATCTTTCGTAGCTTCAAGTTAGGCCACCACCTCCTCCACAACTTTCTTAAGGTCCTGGCCATTACTTGTCGTAGCGTCCAAGGCCTTTCTCTTTTTTCTTGCCTGTTTCATTTGGAAGAGATCCACCTGGTCTAACTCCCCATCTGTTACACTCTCCTTCATTGTAGCCCATGTCAGGTTCTTTCCCGGTGCGCCCTTCTTAGTCAATGTCGAAGCCTCTGAACTCGAAAAATGCCCAAGGAAGGTAGCACATTGCTCCTCTTCCGCCATCCCAGTGACTCTCTTTCCCATCTTCTCGAAGGCAGTGGCGAATGCACCCACCGTGGTCAACTCATTTCGGCCTAGCATCTCTAAATCTGCTTTCGTTAATAGGTCGTCTCCCAACTTGAAACGCCGCTGCATTTTCTCTTTAAATTTTGCCCAGTCACCATTTGCATCGGCCGCCTTTTTCATCACCTCTGGTCTGAGCTCCCACCATATATATTTAGGCATCTCCAATTCTGATGCCTCACTAGTGACTTGCTCCAGCAGCTCGATCCATATGTAATTTGAATTCACTCATTCACTTTTATTTGTTAATTGATTGAATTAGAATAAAACTAAGTATAAATAATAATTCATACAATTTCAGAAAATATATGAACCATTCTGTACTCTTTCATTCAAATAAACTAAATTCTACTCAATATAATATTTAAATAAATTTAAAATGTTTATGTAAATAATTGGCGACACTCTGTCCCTATTGAAATGAAAGATGTTAACTTTCAACACTTGAAGCGTGCCAACTCTTTTTTTTCCAACGCCTTAATGATATCTTTTGGCGTGGGACCCGGACCACGCACGATTCCATCGGCATCACTCATCTCTATCCTCTCTTCAGAGACCTGTTTAAGGAATGAAAACGTTTTAACACACAATCATCTGTCAATTTCCTAACTATCCCGCTTCCACCATTCAGTTAACCATACTCTCTCCTATGGACTAGGCAAGCATATTCCTACACACTAGGTAATCATCCGGTCTTTATGTCCTAAATCTAGCTCTTATTAGTCAAAGGATCGTAATACACACTCCCTCACCACCACAATCAAGCATATCAATTATACATACCATCAAATATACTATAACACTCAAACCACATACCACTATCCATTAAAAGGTTGTCGTTTTGCCTGGATCATCAACCTGCACTTACCCTGGGTTCGTTCTCTTAAGGACCCCGGTAGGCAGCCGAGATCCCCGGCAACGGCGCCACCTGTCGTGCGCATTGGTCCCGCAAGGGGACCCTCCCGGCCGCGTCATGCAGGATTTTGCAGGACTTCGTCGCAGAGCGTTTTTAGCCGCTCCGGCCGAGTGCGCCAGCCATACCTCTCGCGAGCCCCTACGACAGGACAGGGTCACACGAGGCACCGCTGTCGAGTGCATCGGTCCCGCACCGCACTGGGCAGCACGGGACCCTCTCGGCCTCGTCAAGCAGGAGTTGGATCTTAATCCTCATCGCGATACATACATGGAGCTTCCGCAAGCCACTCCGGCCGAGTGTGTCAGCCATACCTTTTGCGAGCCCCTACGACAGGATAGGGCCTACGCGAGGCACGACTTACCTCCACCTTACGGGAGCTGTCACTTCCCTCCGGTGGGCGTATCCCCGCCGAGCTACCAGTCCACAGTACGAAAGCTGATCAGCTGCAATCGCAGAGGTGGGTCAACCAAGGGTGTTTCTCGTTCGCTGTAGCACATGAGGTATGGGCGGTAGTATGCCTCTATCGGACCCGCACGTGAACCGACATCTTGGGGGGGGCTGAAGTCCCAAGCGCGACTCGTCGCCGGTCGACTAGGACGTATCCCAAACACCACGCGCACACCAACAATAAAAAACATAAAAATAAATGAACACATACGCATATATACATATACTGAACGACACTGAACAAACAACGCAATAACACTCCTAGTCCCTTAGTAACTGTTCCATAACTTTCCGATTGCGGAAGTTGGATAAGCGTTGTGTGCGAGACTTTGTATAAAACCGTGCGGACGTAGGGCTAACTCATATCGACTCGCAATGCAAGCGTACGCAAGCGGTCGCAATGATGGCGTACTACGTAGTACCCATACTCGCGCAGTCCTCGTTAGTTTCGAGGTTCACGTTCGACACTCAAGTGTCGGCTGACACGCGCCTTGAGGATTAATCTCTCGACGTTGGACAACCGCCAAGGGCAGTTGAAAACCACACCCTCTTCTGCACCCTGCGGAGAGTGGGTGGTACACAGGTTCATACCTGTGCTGGCAATCGTCTCTTATGGCCCTGGAGACCAACTCCTTCACCTAGGGCCTGGAAAGAAGTCAAGGGGTTTGACTTTGACGGCTGCCACGGACTACAACGTCCAACCATATAAATCTAAAAAGCAAAGGATAACAGGGGATCTCCCTCTTCTCTCAAACACACGATCTGTTTAACCCTTACGCGTCGTCTCAGTGGGCCGCGCGAAACACTCAAGACATATATATATCACATAAACATAAATGGTTATTAATATGTGACAATCTCTTCTCACAATCAAAGTGGAGCTCCTTTCAGCCATACATATATGTATGTGAGCGCACGCAGTCAAAATCCAAAGTCCAAATCACCATACATACCTGCAATCATATCAAAAATTCCACCAAAAATTCAAGCACTATACGGGGTCAACTTCAACCATTCTCTGCACTCACACCCCTTGCTTTTAGCCATACAAGGCTTACTCTTGTGCAACTCCCAAAATAAAATACTCAGTACTTTTCTTTAAATGACCATTCAAAATAAAGTCCAGGTGAAAACACAACAAAACAGTTCGAATCACAAGGCTAAAGCCTTTAGGTTGAGTGGTAGCAGTGGATTGAAGTTGAATCGTAAATCGACGAATCGGCAACCGACTTGTTATCAGTGATAACAGAAGACGATCCCTGTAGGATCAAGTTGAATCTAAGCCCAAATCCTGAATCAATCGATCAAGAAGACCTGTAACACAAGACAGGTCAATCCCCAAGCTAAAATCATAAGTGTATGGAGAATACAGGTCCATAACATGATCTCTCTCAAATCATCATGTTTAGCTAAACCTAAGTCTACCTCTAAGCAAGTGTCAAAGGAAAGGTATGCTTTTGGCAGAATCTCCTCTATACAGAGTGGATCGCCAGAATCGCCACCTGTTAAATATAATATAACTCCTTTAAACTAAGAAAATTTCGACATTGCTTCCCGTAGGAAAAATGCCCTTTCAGAATTTATATCAGCCCGAATATGAAACGAGAAATTGTCTTTGACTTTCCAAAGTCAAATTCTGTCTACCCTGAACTACCAAAAATTTGGACAGCACTCCCTTTAGAAAAGGAGACTTTTCGGATTTATACTTAGTCAGGTATGAACTCAAACATAAAACCTGAGTTTAACTAAGACAAAATTTAACTAACTCCTTAGATCTGTAGAAATTTCGGCAGCGCTTCCCGTACAGAAAGTGTTATTCCAATATTTATACAAAGCTAAGTTCGGAATCTAAAATGACTTTGGCTTCTCAAGGTCTAATTTTGTCTAACTCCTTGAATGAGCAAAAATTTGGGCAGCATTCCCTTTAGAAAAGAAGGTAGTCCGGATTTTTACTAAGCCAAAAAATCAAAAAAAGTTAGACCCTAAAAAAAGACAAAGTCTGACTAACTCCTTGGTTTTGTAGAAATTTCGGCAGCGCTTCCCGTAGAGAAAGTGACTTACCAAGATTTATACAAGACCGAGTATAAATAAAAGGTCCCAGAAAATGCAGAAATTGATCTAAGAAAAAAAACTTAGCTCAGAAAATGCAGGAATTGAAACCAACTCTTATAACTTTAGCACGTGGCGAGCAACTAAAGCAACTATCTATCAAACTGAAACTCAGACTAAGCAGTAGCCTCACTCAGTCACATGCAGACCAAACCACAAAGATAAGTACTCTCAC